TTGGGGTAAAAAGGCGCCTTCAGCGTGTGATGCAAGAGTCGAACCGCGCACGCATCGAACACGTTAGGTGCGCCCTAATCAAAAGTGGAAATGTATTTGTAATTTATGATTGCCTTTATAATTGTCATGTAGAGTCCTAAATACAGTGGGGTTGACGTTGGAACTTACAAGGCCCGCTAGCTTAATGCTAACTCACAATGCGAAACACCATAGGTGGGCTAAGAAAAACTAGCATCAAGATTGCGGCGATTATAAACCTTGAAAGGATATTTGAATACAAGCAGTGATACACACATAGCATACATCAATTCTCACGGGCATATATTCTTTATCCTCTGCAAAGATTCGCCCAAAAACAACGCTGGTTGAATTATTCTAATTTTTTTTTTTTCTAAAAGGTGTAGAATGGTGTCTTGGATAAAAAAAATATCGCAGTGTTCAATCATTCATTCAGGATGATGTCAGTTTAGAATCAGGATGATGTCATTGTTGCTCCTCCGCATCAATGTTTAATGCTCGAAATGGGAATAAAAATACTTTTCTTTTTTTTTTTGGTCTTTATAAACCTCCTCCATACGTCTCTAGTGAGGAAACGCAGCTCATTACCTTGCTGAGGAATGTGCGGGGAAAGGTGTGTGTGTGTGTGTGTGTGTGTGTGTGTGTGTGTGTGTGTGTGTGTCTGTGTGTGTGTCTGTGTGTGTTGAAAATAATTAGCTGGTCTGCTGGGCAGCTTGCTACGAGAGAGAAGCAGCGAGATTTTTTTTTTTTTGCATAAAGTTTTGAACGTGTGCGCTTTACCAAAGTTTACTGGATCCTCGGCGTATCTTGGAGCAGTTTTCTGCCCGCGCGTGACTGTCTGTGTGTGTGTGCGCGTGTGTGTGTACTGTGCGTCGGTGGCCTTATGGTATTTTAACATGGCTAGCCGACTTCTAGCAGCTCGCAGTCAAAGTCACTCACAGATTCCTCGCTCTCGCTTCATCTCGGTATGCTCCTGCGTTCTCTTTCTATGCATCGAGATGGCGGTTCCTTTCAACCATTTTTTTTGCTAGCTTTGGCCACCGAGAGGCAGTATAATATCGTCATGTAGACCCAAAACAAAGAAGAAGAGCACTTATACGACCACTGTAACGGAATTGTGTTGATATTCATCATTTTTCATAGAGGATAAAGAATATATGCCAGTGACTATTGTTGTATTATCTGTCTACATGTGTTGCAGCCACAGTTTGTGTTCAACCGTCCACTGAGTGTTTTGAAAGGCGCTTATAAATGTAATGTATTATTATTATTATTATTATTATCATTGCTTCAAAAAGCGCAACTATCGATGCTAATCGCTAGCGTATAAATTGTGTTTCTATTATATGTTAGCATGAAAAGGTGATGTTCTTGTTCATAATGTATGCTACGTTACTCCGCTAGTCTAAAAACAGTATTGTAATTAGTGTTGGGTTTTCCGCCATCTCGGGGGGGGGGGGCAGCCATTTTGTCTTGTACTGCTCCTTGCTGTTGACTGAGTTAAATTGCAAATCTGAAGGCACTACTGCACTAACATTTCAAGACAAGTTTTTTGCGATCTAAAGTCAACCGGGTTTCCAATCAAATTAAAACCAACGCCAAAGGGCGCCAACTCACACTAGACACCCCCAAGGCCCTCCCCTCTTTTGCAGCCGCCACAGCAGGAGGGGACTGCAGGTGTGCAAGAAACTGTCCCAGTTTCGGGGGTGGGCTCGAAGGACTTCAAAGCTCCGTCTACTGTACCTCGGCGACACCTCAGCACCAGGTGCCGGCTCGAAGGGGGAAGAGGGAGTGAAATTAGTGATCAAGAAAGGGAAAGCCCCCACCCCAACCCCAAAAAAGGTAGAAATTAAAGATGCAGATGACAAAAAAAAAAGCAAAAAATGGAGCAGGGAGGGAGCCGCAGGCAGACGGAACAGTGGAGCCACAAACAAGAGAATTTGGAGTGGGGGCGGGGGGTCAGTCACACCGAGCTGCTAATGCCCCCCCTCCTTTTTTAATGCTTTGTTGTCAAGAGCCACCCCCCACCCCACCCTCCTTTTTTTTTTTTATGGTGAACTGCTCCTTTAATGATGAGCAGTAAAAAGTCTTCCTCCCTCGCCTGACAGGAAGTGTGACGCAGCGAGCGACGCGATCACACACATCCCGCAAAGTTCAAACGGCAGCGTTTATACTATGAACACTTTTTTTTTTTTTTTTATTGAAAACTTTTTTTTTTTTTTTTTTTTTTGGGACGACTTTTGCTCCGGGACCTACATGAAAAAAAAAAAAAAAAAAAACTCTGGGGCCCTTTTTGTCTAATTTGGGGGCTTTTTTTTCCGGAATGAACCGCTTTGAAAATCCGTCACTCATGCGCATCGGCGGCACGCGCGCGATTGCGTGCGTTTTTTTTAAAAATAGAACCGCGCCGTGAGCGGGATGCGTTCGCCGTGCGTAAATGTCTTCTGCCGAGCGCTTTTGATCGCAGAAGCGGTGGCGGCACATTACCCCCCCCCCGCCCCCACCCAGCAGAAACGACTGCAAACTGTGTGATAAAAGAAATAGGAAATCATAAATTGGAGGATATTTATGCGCTTAAAAGCCTGAAAGGCAGACTGTTAGCCCCGTAGCGAGGTCAACTGTTGAAAATACGCCCTGTGAATTCCTCAACTGTGATTGGACGGGACCGTTTTGAGCGACAGTTGGCTGGCCAATGGGCTGCGATGTCACCTGACGCCGAATCTCATCCCTTCGATGAGCTTCGGTTCTTGAAGCAGTTTTTTTTTTTGTCATCAATCGCTTCATCCTAAAGGGGAATTTATTTCCCTACCCACAAAAAATAATTGCGAGGTGGGGGGGGGG